GCCATCTCAAATCCTGGTTAGGTCTTATTTTATGTCTTATTTTTTTGTCAGGAAAAGTTTTACTATCTTAGAAAAATATAAAATTTTAAATATTGTGATTACAATTATATTTGCAATATGTTTTAAAAAGTAAGGTTCTACTCATTATGCATATTGAAAACAACTCTAGGATCATTGGGACAATACTGAAATGCGAACTGGATTTTCATTATTTGCAGAGGAAATCCTATCTAAATAACTGCAGCCTTTGCGATTTGATAATTGCTCCATCTCAAACAGCGGGGGACTACCAACAATCTTTGCTCAATTTCAATGAAGCAAATATCATAGGATTATTATAAATACTTTTTATTCCCATATTTTGCATGGTACTTCACAATTTAAAAGGCATGTTTGAGTGGTATAACTTTAAATTTGCCCTTATAGTGATTAAATGTGAGTGAGTAGCTGTGATTTTCTATATTGCAATTTAATAATTATGCAGGCTCTGTGTGTTAAACATGTGTGAATGAAACAAAACACAACTCCAGGTATGTTTGTGATGAGGAATCATTATATCTAATAATACGCATTGTTAATATAAAGATACTTAGGATTACAAAAATCTCTCCTACTTAAAACTGGAAAGAAAATGCATGGTAAACAGAGAGGTCTGTGCTAGGAAAGACCAAACTCCAATCTGGTGGCGAAAAGGAAAAGGTACTAGTAGATGCCCTGTGACTAATCGTCCATTGTCCAGGCTGTGATTGTTGCAAAAATAGCCCAACGCGACCCATGACCCCATTGGACACAAGAGCGAAAAGAAAGAGAAAAGCACTTGAGTTTTTGTTTGTTTAACATTTGGAGAAACAAGCTCAGACCAAGTGACCTGGGAAAACAAGTCGTGCAGGTTATTATTCAAAAAAGAAGAGACGCTGCTCCAGTCAAAACAAATATTTGAATACATGCGCGCGATTGGATGTGGCTGGTTTACATATTTTAAAATGGCATAAAAGTAAACATCGATTTCACTTTAAACAGAGGGACATAGCTAAAATAAATCAAATAAAAGCTAAAAAGAACTAAAACAGGACTATAATCATGTGTAACAGGCTGGAACAATTAATTGGAAAAGCATAACAAATAATACTTACATAATTGTTCACTACTTTAATAGATGTTTATTGTTATCTGGGAATTTCTCACACAAAAAAATCTGTTCAGCTATTAAAAGGTGCACTGTGCAACTTTTCTGGTAGAGGGTCCGCTACCTGCTTGTCTCCATGGAGATGTTATTTCTCTCCCTGGAATGTTACAAGGTGTCATTACAGGTGTTTCTATTGCTCAAAAATACAATACCTTTAAATAAAATAAATAGTTGCATGAAAAATACTCTTTTAGGTTCCAACTCTTTAACAACAGAAAACTGTTTAAACAGGACAGAATTAGCTACAGGTTTATGACTAAGCTTTTAATGTCAAACCGGGTCCATTATTACACTAACCTTGATCTAATAATAGCTAACCCAAACTAAACCAGGACTACACAGTGTCTAACAGGAGTGAACCAGGACTTAACCAGAGGTCTACTTGAAGACTTCATCAAAGAAAAACACCAGGAGAAGCCAAGAATCCACCAGCATTGAGAACATGGAACTGAATTCACATGTGCGTTGTCCATTTAAATGTATGGTGGAGCGTCAGAGCTGCAGCTGTGAGCCTTTTGTGGAGCCATATGTGGATAATGACACAGCCCGGAGGATTATGTAATGGGCCTGACATTTGTCACACACTGTTACATGGGCACCTTCACCCAAGAAGTTGGCAACAGGAACACTGATTTCCTGTTTGTACATTCAACGCTAAAGACACAGGAGAAATAAGGAGAATCCACAGTTCTATCTATTATTTATAGCTGAATCACACTGCTGTACTATGATCTTCAGAAGCATAAAGCAAAACAATGTTTTCTTGAGGTTTCTACAATATGATATAACAGTATAGGGAAAGGAAGGAAACAGAGTTGATTCTGAGGAATTCTATCATATTTATTTTCTTTAAAGCCACCAGTATGTAACTTTTTAGTAAAAATATTAGAAAAAAAGCAGACTTTGGAGAGTATTCCACAGTATACAATTTATCTGAAAATGTAAATGAAATTAAAGTACACCTTAATTGTCTATGTCCACGAAATCCAGAAAGTTATATAATGTACATATTTAAAATAACTTAGAAAAACACAGATGTCAAGATCATTTACATTAGTGATACTAGTAGTGAGAATCCATTATTTGATATATATTTATCAGACCAAAAACAATACAATAATAGCCATTTCTAAACAACCTTACACAAATACACACAAATATATGAAGCCACTATAAGGTAATATCTATTTTAATGTCAATTAAACTCACCTTATTGTTATGAATTTAACCCATAATGTAACTGTATTCAAGTTTGTTTAATTTGGATGTATTCAAGTCTTATTATTGATTATTTTTTATTTATTTTAATTGATTTTATTGTATTTTATAGTCATTTTTCTGTTTTTCTTAAATGGTGTATTGACCACTTTGTCATCCAGAGTTACACATGTCTGTCTTTTGCTGTTGCTTGGGGCTGCTGTTATTAAAACTACATACAGCCTGAGTTTCAACAATACAGTCATTTCTGTGGCTTTGGGAAGAACTCCGGCACAAAGCCAAAGGATTTAGGACTCATGGGGAAAACTGCTCCCACCACAGCACTTTGTTAAGACTAAGTAAAAGGTTTGGTGGTACTGGTAACAAAACTCAGATTCATAGTGTAACAGTCAAATAAACACATTTGGAAAAGGTTGGTGTCGTCCAAAGTTACATCCAAGAGGTGTTAATATTTTGAATAATAGGTAAGGGAGCAATAATAAATGCATTGTTATTGCACATTCAAAGGTGACTCTTTACTTGGCAAAAAAGGCATTATGAAAACATACTTTAAAACATCACACATCAAAAATCTGGTTCAGATTTAGAATAAGTTATGGTCAATTAATATGTGACTGGATGTAACTGGTCACACTGGCTCAAAGATATTATTTGGGTGCATGCTTATAAATGAAAAAGTTAACAGAAATATAATAGCAATTTATACCTTTATCTACAGTAAATCAACCCATTCACTACAGTCAGTAGGGACCAGGAAATACCTAAAGTGTATTCTTTTCCAATGTACCGTACAAATGACCAATCCTTCAATTACTTTTATTAGTTAAAATCTATCCAAGTAAACTGACCCAGTCTTTACAGTATTGTAATTAGGAATAACGAGACGATTAAGCCCATGAAATCGAAACAAGACAAGATTTTTATATAAGTTATAACAAAATTGTGTGATCCAGTTTACAATTTTGGCCCTAACAATATTTGATTTATTTTACTGAATACTTTTGCTGCCATTATAGCCCTGCATTCTGGAACAATGGCTTCTCAAAATGTTAACTGCAGTCCAAACACGAACATATATGGGGAAAATGTCAGATCTTTTGTGGCACAAGATCTTGTCCCTTCCCTATATTGTAGTGTTTGAAATTATAATGTAAATAGGTCAGACATGTTATAGATAGCACACAGAAGTACAGTGACCTATTTTCCCCAACACACATTAGCCTTTTTATGTTGCTGAACACACAGCACTATCTGAAATGTAGTCTTCTATCACAGCAATAATAATATAAAGGTTCAAGACAATGGGCCTAAATCAGCAAAAGCACATGGAATCAGAGGTAGGCTATGTATTGCCAAAGGACACAACAGCGATAAGCAATGGTAGTCATCAGGGATTTAACCAACAACCTTTTCCCTCTCTGCCACTTGACTGAGCTCTTGGCTGGCTATCTCCCATTTGTGTTTTTTGTTAGTTCAAGGCCAAACCCAGTTGGATATTATAGGTAGCTGGGTCTTATCTTGAGTGGCCAGAAACAGCCACGTATTGAGCTCAAAATCTTGTGTTTTTAATTAATTAATCATAGAATTATACTACAAAATATGGCATTTAAGATAAAAATGAATATTAAAATGCAGCCAAGTCAAACCAGGCAACAACAGATAATCCATAGACTGCCTGGGTGAAAAATCTCACGGCTGCAGACTGTAAACAAAGCAGTTATGTAATCACTAGAGATCCACACTGGAGGCACTTTGACCCACAAAAACACCCGACAACACGCGGCACAGGGCGGGAGGGGTGGACAGCCAACACCGGAGCCCATGGAAACTTGTCGGGCAACCTACTGGAGCCCATCCCCCTCATGTGATCACGTTTCCCCGCTAAATGTTGCCTGCTTCCCGCACAGAAGGGGGCGGGAATAGTGGAAAAGGCGCGCCATAATACCAGTGTTTGCTAACCATGCGTGCAAGAAAATGGAATGAAAAATAATATAAAACAGTGGTGTCAAATTTAGATATGAAGCATTGTATTTGTTTGCAAAAGTCTGCTGTACTCTGCAAACTTGAGACGAGAAGGAGCAGAGATAGTGATGTTGACACAAAGTAGAGAGAGATTAAATGTGCAAAACAATAAAATGCAATGATTGAAAAGTCAACAGCTACGTGGCAATTGCGCAAATGTGCCAAGCTGCAAATATAACAACGCCTGGCAGGAGGGCAAAACCATAGGACCATAACACGGAGGTGCAAAACGAGGATAAGATGATGCTGAATGCTCCGTGCAGAGAGCATGAAAACACGTCACACCGCATGGATCTTTATTTGTTGACAAGCCAAACTCCGCGGCCGACGGAGGATAGGTGTCAAAAGGCCCGCGCTTCTGACCACTTGCGCCTTTACCGAGCTGTCGTGGCCAAATTTTGGGGCTAGCTCTGATGCTAAAAGCTCCGCTAGGCTGTAATGTAACTGAGGAAGAGAGAAAGCCGCTAGCGCCCATCCCCCATCGCCCAGTCTTCCCTGTCTACGTCCACCATCTTTAATCTGTGCTCCGTGTGCCTGCCTACCACAAAACAGCACAAAAACACCGCACACTCACCTTTTACGACCATCTCCGAGCCGATTATCTCCTACCGGAACAATAAAGCAATTTTTGTTTTAATAAGGTGCGTTTTTTAATATTGAAAATTGGCCGTGCGAGCGGAACCGCGCCTTGAGAGAAGAGCAGCAATCCTAAACCGCCATCTGGTGGTACTCCGGTCTCTGTGATGCAGCGGGAGCGGCGCAGGCTCAGACCGGGCCGGAGGTGCCCTCTGGCGGACACAGCGCACACGACGAGCCGCTGCGGAGGCGCGCTTCAGGGGCGAGCAGAGGAATGGGAGGGACCCTAGGAACCGCAGGACCCGCCAACACAGCACTGGCACATGTGAGGAGACTGCTGTGTGGAGGTTTACGGCTCTGTGGCACAGACAGACGACATGCAAATGGGCGAATAACATCGTAATGGGCCCAAGTCTGGACGGTTTAACTGAAGCTATACATCACTGTAATTGCACACACACTTTTAGGCCACAGGAATCCACAAGTGTGCCATGCAGGCTATACATGCCCACAGATTTATTTCTTGTTTATTTATGCCTACAGAGAGTTTGTCTGCAGACCCAGAGGTTGGCTGCCACTGTGTCTTTGGGCAAGGCACTTCACTTTGCCTGCACGACTGTGATGTGTGAGTGACTGGCAGTTGTAAGAAGGGCTGTAAATGTGGGCAGCCACACCTCTGCCATTGGGCAGCTGTGGCTGCTGATGTAGGTCAATCATTAAATTTAAAAAATGCATGAGACTGTAAAACTTGTAACCCTGATTTTTTAATGCACATAACATCACAATAATCTGATGTTTTAATTGTGCAAATTTAAAACATGCCCTAGCAGCATACTTTAGTCTATGGCTTCTCGGAGTGTGAAGTTACAGGGCTTATGAATAATGTATTGACTCCTTTAATTGTCTACTATTAATATAGTGATAGTTTTAAATAAATGCCATTGGCAAAGAGTTAGAATATCATGCTCTTACCTAGCCTAAATCATAACTTTATACCCCAACTTTAGAATTGGGAGTGAATGAGTCATTTCAAATTGGCCATTGACTTTTTGTTTCTGTTTTCCAAGGGCCTAAAATAAATGAGCAAGCTCCCTGTGCCATTTGTCTCCAGTGGACCTTGTAGCTGGATGCAGTTAAAGCCGATAGTCGCTCGTATACTCTCATATTACTCATCCTTGTCTGTGTGGTCTTTACTGCCTGCCTCCACCAACGGAAAGCAATCAAAACAGTGCCCCTTGGCCCTTTGTCTCAGTATTCAAGAGCCATTAAAGGTGTATTGTGTAACTTTTCTGGTGGAGGGCCGTCAAATGCTTTTCTTTGTGGAGAAGTTGTGGAGACTTGCTTTGTCTGGAATGTTTCACAGTATGGGTTTAATGCCTTTCTACCTTCATTGAGACCAAACCAGACCAAGTTACAGGTCAGATCTGCGGAGAGACGACCCCACTCACAGTGAGAACACCTGTTTTTCTAGGTATTTTTTGAGGTAAAACAAACACATGTAATTTAATAAATGTAAGGTAGAGATGTTTAATGTCAAACTGTGGAACATTTCAGGCAGAGCAATGACATCTCCATAGAAACAAGCAGGTGACAGACCCCTAACCAAAAAGTTACATAGTGCACCTTTAATGGAGAAAGGATTAACATAATAACATTTAACTGAGATTTTATTCATGAGATGCGGGGCTGGCAAAATTAGTTGGTGTTAGTTCATTGGCAGGATAATGCACCTACAGTTTTATCCGGTTTAAGGCTCTGTTTAGCTGAGATCTATATTTATGCTAAATCATTTTTTAGAGCTTTCTACCATGTTATAATATTGTTCCCTCATCAAAAACATGCCTGAAGTGGTTTTATATGCCACCCATGCATGTTGGCGCAATCTTTGCAATCTCCCCTAAGCACTATTGAAACCTTCCTTACAGTTAGCAGTTCAATTCCGTCTAAGACTTGGTTAACAAGTCTACAAGTTTCAATAAATATGCAAAGGCATGATACAAAATGATACACTACAACTTCACAAACCTGATGCAATGTGTCAGTACATGATAATATGTTGTATTTGGTGAATAGAGCATTTTCAAAACAATAAAAAAGTAACATGGTGATCTAAATATTATATGTGTTTTGTGCATTTAATGTCACTGAAGTAAAATTAAGTAAAATACCCCCTTTCTAACTTTTTTTTTATTTTTGTGATTGAATGCATCCTTGTTTGATAAGCACTTATTTAATTATATGAATGTTCTATAGATAAATTTGTCTTGAGCTCCAAACACAGTGGTGGTTGTCAGAATGGATTTAAGTTTTTACTCACGTTAACAATTGAAAAAGCATTAAAATCTGAACACCTCTATTGGATAAGCAAGTGCAATCAGTGTATTGATAAACAGTAAATAAAACAGATTGCTGACAGTATGTCTTTATTCTATTTCAATGTCTCATAAAGAGTACATATTTTCAAAAGCACAGGTCTGGTTGTCATTGGATGCACAGATGTTTGCCATAGCAACCGCACGTCTTCTCCATAAAAGATGCAGCCAGTTCCTCCTCTCAGGGTCAAACCAGAATATAAATAATTCTTATTATAATGTACCTATAGCCATGCGCAAGCTCTATATACTACACAATAGGTTTATATTTTTTAATTATTATGAGTTATTACTATTATGAACAGGGATTAGTGATTGGCAATATCACAATGATCACAGTAATGCCGTAATAGCGTGGGCTTCTACAAAATGGTCGGCTTATTGGGCTACAATGTGTGGTTTTGTTGTGCAGTGCTTCAGATGTGTTTGACTGCTTGTTAAAGATGCAGTATGTAACTTTTCTGGTGGAGGATCTTCCATTTGCATGTATTCACTCAGATGTTATTGCTTTCCCTGGAATATTCCACAGTGTAGCATTAACCTTATTCATCTCTATTGGAGACAAGCAAGTCACAAGTCAGATCTGTGGAGAACCTTGAGAGTCTGCCTACAGTAAGTTGTTTTTAAGGTATTTTTAAGCAATTAAAACACTTCCAATTTAAGATATGCAAATGATATAGGTTTAATGCCATACTGTGGAACATTTCAAGCAAAACAAGTGGGTAACAGATCCTCCAGTGGAAAAGTTACGCAGTGCATCTTTATTTTAAGTATGTTTTTACATATCTAACAAGTAGTATTTCTCTTGAGAACATCCTGGACAAGACATAATTGGCTAATACATTACAGGATTTTTGGTCTTAAATGTTTTTTAAATGAGTGACAAAAAACGCACAACACAGACAAGAGAAAAATCTTATGAGATTTTAAATCTCTGTTCGCAAAGACTGCTGCGGGATCTGCTGCGTACCACAGGCCACACAGTTGTGAGCATACCTCGTGTCATCTCTTTCCTGTCTAGAGTAAAACCTGTCGCATGCATACTCTGGCAGACAACTTTTTGTATTCATTCATTAAGTTAATCTATGTGCTAACCACTCTGCCAGTATTCCCTGTAAAGTTGTGTTGCTAAAATAAATGGTTAAATCCTTAGACTGTACATATAAATGGACATAGCTAGCTGTCACGTCATGGGAAGTGAATGTAGGGGCGCTTCCGGCTCCATCGACTTTGGTTTCATTTGACTTTACATTGAAAAACCATTTTGGTCTTAAAATTTTCATATTAACCCGCTCTACATGATCCTGGTGTTTTTATGTCACTATTTTGTCTGTAAATACATTCCTATTCCTATTATGGAACCCAATTCCAAACCCGCTCATGTAACCGCTAGCCTCGTGAGCTTCATTTGACTGGAGCCAAATGCAGTGGGTGACGTCACACTCCCTTAGTCCACTTCTTGATACAGTGGTTAAATCCCAAAACATGATCACAGGTGATTTGACTATAGGAGGAAAATTGTATCCCAAAAATGTAAAGACACATAATACTGCAACCTAAATACACTTACATTTGACTGTTCCACCGTTTTCCATGATGTTGACAACTACCACTAACAGATTTGATTATTATGAATGAGAAACACCAGAGCCAATATCCATGCTTTTGTCATCGTTGTGTTCAAGCATAACTGTACTCCAGAGATGAAGCAGTCACTTTTTGGCTTCAGAATTTAATAACAATCTTTCAGTGTATTTTAGTTCAAGAGCTTAGACCTCCTCCAGGCCTGGCTGGGTTTGACTGGACTTGTTTCCATAAATATGCCTGTTTGACAAAAATAAGGACTGAACAAATGAAAAATCACTCAATTATAAGATTTTTTGGCCTGGGTTTTTTCAATGGGAAATCTGTCATATAATAGTAATATCTTTTAATTTGATGACAATACAAATGGTAAAATGGAACCATAAAATGCATTTGCGGGTTTTTAGCTGTATATCACATGTATCACTTGATTAACCTCCACCTTTTTAGTTGAATAGTAAAAGGTTTCATAATCAGGTTTAACTTCTTGAATGCATTTTTTTTTTTTTTAAAAGCTTTTCATCCTCTACTAATCACACACTTTTGCATACATGAGCAAGTGAGATGGTGAAATGGTGCAATGTGTTGCCCAATCACACAATGGCAGTAAAATCTTCTTCATGGAAAGGTGCACTATAATTTTTCTTAGGGGTTCTTGCTTGTCCCAATGGAGATGTTATTTTGTTGCCTGAAATGTTCCTCAGTATGGTGATAGACTTGCCCATCTTGCATTTATTCAACTACATGTTTTGCTATAAAAAAGAATTCTGAAAAAGCGAAGTGGAAAGTGGATCTAAACACTTACAATTTTTGTCTACTCTTCCTATTGTTCTTTTTAAGGCTATTTTAGTGCAAACTGGATAAATTGACAGCTTTCTAGTGAAAATGTAGTCAAAATCTGAGTGAGCACTGCCGCTAGTGGTCACTGCAATTTCAAGCACTACATGATATCACATATGACTACCCTGATTAAAGCTGAAACCTGATTACACCTGGTTGCAGGGGCAGAGTTTGAAGTGTAGATACCTGCGAGACCAGTCACACTGTTTCTCATATGTTCACAGGTGCATGCAAAGTGCTTCTTCTTCTTCTTGTTGTTATGACAGTGTCACACTTTAGGTCAGGCTGTTAAACATAAACTCCATATAAATAATTTATGTTGTGAAAGGACGTGTGTTTTCTGTCCACACACGCACCTCCTGTG